AACCATGGCCAGAAATATACCTACAGCCAAACAAATTAGTTTACTTATGATTGTGGTAGGGGAGACTATCCCATTGGGTAACAGAGATTATGTCAGCATTATAGGATTTGGCTTATGCATGTTGAATAATTTGGGAGAGGACCTAAGGGAGTTGATCTGAGCTGTAGACTAGATGTTGCTCAGAAGCAGGGGATAATTCTGTGACGAGACAGATTAAGAAATCTTCCTTGGGGCTGGAGAGATAGTGCAGCAGTTAAGAACACTGGCTGTTCTTTCAGAAGACCCAGGTTCAAATCTCAGCACCCACATGGCACCTAATAACTGTCCATAACTCCAGTTCCAGGGGATCCAACAACCTCTTCTGACCTCAGTGGGCATTGCACAACATGGGTGCACTTGCACACTTGCAGGCATAACACTCATACACATGAAATGAAAATAAATTATATAAATAAATAATAAATAAATAAATAAATAAATAGGTGTGAGATCCCTTGGAACTGGAGTTCTAGATGGTTGTTATCTGCCATGTGGGTACTGGGAACCACATTTAGGTCCTCTGTAGCAGCAGCCAGTGTCCTTAACAGGCAAGCCATTGCTCCAGCTTGTCTTGTAACTTCCACATTTGCACCATGGCTTGTATTACTACCCCGACCCACACACACACAGAAAAAAATTTAATATTTTTATGTGATACAAGTGTTTTGCCTACATGTAGATACATGCATGTAATGCCTGTGGATGCCAGAGAAGGGTGTCAATGGGTCTGGAGAGATGGCTCAGCAGTTAAGAACACTGATTGTTCTTTCAGAAGACCCAGGTTCAAATCTCAGCACCCACATGGCACCTAATAACTGTCCATAACTCCAGTTCCAGGGGATCCAACAACCTCTTCTGACCTCAGTGGGCATTGCACAACATGGGTGCACTTGCACACTTGCAGGCATAACACTCATACACATGAAATGAAAATAAATTATATAAATAAATAATAAATAAATAAATAAATAAATAGGTGTGAGATCCCTTGGAACTGGAGTTCTAGATGGTTGTTATCTGCCATGTGGGTACTGGGAACCACATTTAGGTCCTCTGTAGCAGCAGCCAGTGTCCTTAACAGGCAAGCCATTGCTCCAGTCCCAAATTAAGGAATTTTTTAATGAAATTTTGGGGTTTTTTGGTTGTTTTGTTTGTTTGTTTTGAAACAGGGTCACTCTATAGCCCCAGGTGAGCTATAACTTGCTCTTTAGACCAGGCTGGCCTCCATCTCACAGAGATCTGCCTGTCTCTTCCTCCCAAGTGTTGAGATTAAATGCATGCATGCCACACCTAGTTTAAAATAAGTTTTTTTTAATTAATGCCCTAAAACTTTACTGAACTCATTAGTTGTCTTAGCTCTTTCATTCATTACTTAAGATACTTTTCATCAAACTAAGGTGGTCGCTTCACAGAAATTTTTGCCATATGAATGCTGAATTTTGATAAACTTTTCTGGGAACTATTGAGATATTTGTGTTGATAGATTTTACAAGTACCAATATTCTAAATATCAATGATAATTTATGTTGATTTTTTTTAATGTTCAACAACCTTGATGCCTAAAATGAACCCAATTTAGTCATCATGTGCAGGCCATATATTTTTTTGACTTGCTAAAATTCTATTAGGAATCTTGCACGGAATCTTGCATCTACTTTGAGTATAATGAGCTGTAGTTGTTGCTGTGATATCATTGTCATGTTTTGGCATCAGGGTAATGTTAAAAACAAGCTGTGTTAGTCTCTTAGCTTCTTTGTGGAGGAGATTGTGTGGAACTGATAGCGTTCCTTCCCACCTGGGCTACCCAACCCTTTTGGGGGAAGGTTTTTACTTCTAGTGCCTTAACAAATACAGGATTGTTCATTATGAAGTCCAGAGTATCTCTTTTTCTTTTTTCTTTCTTTTTTTTTAGGGGGGGGTGTGTCTCCCTGTAACACCAACTGGCCTGAACTCACTGTGTAGACCAGACTGGCCTCTGCCTTCCGCATGCTGGGATTAAAGGGAGGCACCACCATGCCCAGCAGAGTAGGCAGTTTGTGTCTTTGAGTATTTCATCAGAGTTTTCAAACTTACTAACCGAAAGTTACTCACAATACACTTTTTTAAGGTGTGTCATCTTTACTGACACTTTCATTTGTGATATTGGTGATTTGTCATCTCTTCCTCTTCGGGTCTTGCTAGAGGTCTGTCAGTACTCCAGATCCTTTGAGACTGCCTCTTGGTTTTGCTCATGGTTTGTTTGTTTCTGTGTTTCTGAACTGTCATTGTCTCTTCCCTTCTACTTGGTTTGATTTACTTTCCTCTTTGTAGCTTTTAAAGATGGAAGCTTACATTATGTGTCATAGCCCCCTTCATACCACATACTGGGTTATTCGGGGCTGAAGAGCTGGCTCAGTAGTTAAGAGCACTGGCTGCTGTTGCAGAAGACCCAGGTTCGATTCCTAGCATCCACATGGAAGCTAACAACTGCCTGTAACTCCAGTTCCAAGGGATCTGATGCCCTCTTCTGACCTCTGTGGCCATTCCACAACACAGTTACACTTGTGTACATGCACACAATATGCACCTACACATAAAATAAAAATAAAGCAAAAAAACCCTAGATTATTCAAATGTAACCCAAACTTGCCTCAAAATCATGATCCTCCTGCCTCCATCTCCAAGGTGCTGGGGTTGCAAACATAGACCAACATGCTCAATTGATAGTAGAATTCGCTGTTAGGAGTTTATGGAGCTAGCAAAATAAGAAAGTGTGTCAAGAAGAACTTGTTAATTTCCCAAGTTTGAAGTTTATATAGGAATAACTATTCACAAAGACTAAGAAGGGATGTATAGGTTGTAACTTAAAGAAAAAGTAGAGAGATAGCTTATAGCTTATAAAAGATTTAAGAAACAGTCATATGAGTGGCACATGGTGGCACATGCCTTTAATCCCAGCACTTGGGAGGCACAGGCAGGCAGATCTCTGTGAGTGTGAGGCCAGCTGGGGCTATGGGGAGACCCTGTTTCAAAAAGACCAAAAAAAATTCATACACAGTACATGCATCCTGATACAAACAACCAGTTTTTAAAATTATATTTAATTTATTTTGGCAATAATAATTTTATGTTAAAGAGATTTTATATTTTAAGGTATAACAGTTTATGCTTATGAATTAATAGTCACTCTCATCAGTGGACATAAAAGACTGAAAACTACTGATAAATTACCTGATGTCTAGCATTTGAATCAGATAATCCAGTAGCTATGAGTGGTGTTATAGCTGAGACAAGGTTAACCATGAATTGAGAATCATTAAATATAATTTTAGGGCTGAAGTGCTTCTTTGTTGAAATGATGACTTCTTCATGAGTAGCCATTTTTGAGCACCGAAAGGTGCATCATGGATTAGGGGCAATAGATTGGAGAAATACCTAAAGTAAAGCTGTCAGAACTAATGTGTTACTGGATGTCAAGAGGGAAGGACAGGTGAGGAGCACCAGAGATAATTCCAGAATGTAGGCAACAGCAGAACTGGCTGGCACTGCAGATTTCAGTTACTGACCGGGTTTTTGTTTGTCTTGTTTTGGGAGGCAGGATTTTACTGTGTATCCAGGCTGACCTCAAACTCACAATCCTCCCACCTCAGCCTTCTGAGAGCTGGATTACAGACGTGTGTGCCATACCTGGCCAGAGTTGCTTATGTGTGTAAATTGAAAGTATATGACAAAGACTGAGTCTCAGACAGGTGGAGAGCACTCGAAGAATAGAAAACTGTTTTGGATTCTGGAAAGGTCAGAAAGGTTAGGCAGAAAGCCAGAAGAAGAGGCAGCACAGAGGCCAGCACTGTAGGAAGGAGGAAGTGATGAAACCTGCTCAAAAATAAAAGGCAGCCAGGCGTAGTGGTGCACACCTTTAATCCCAGCACCTGGGAGGGAGAGATCTCTGAGTTTGAGGCCTGCCTGGTCTATATACAAATTCCTGGCCAGCTGGGGCTATAGGGAGATCCTGTCTCAAAAAGACCAAAATAAATAGAAGACAATCTATAATGTCTGTTTAATTGACAATTAGAGGGCATAGTGTCAAGAATATCTCCACTGCACAAAGGGAATGGCAGTCAGGGGGTAGCAAGTGGAAGAGTGGATCCAAAACAAGACGAAGGCCAAGAATGAGTTTCAGTTTCCAAAGAGCATAGACTGAGAAGTGGTCCAGCCTACAGCAGGTTAAGCAGCACACAGGATACGAGGGTCACCTTAGGAGGACTAGTTGGTCTTAGGCATAAGAACAGAACCTGTTCACCCCATTGGCACAAAATATGATAAATCTATAATTCAACTTCTCTTGTATTCAGACTGAAAAAAGCTGTCTACAAATTGTGGATGAACTCATGGGGAAGCAGGAAAACCTTAAGGAAGTTCTTGCCACTCAGAATTCCAACATTGAGAAAATTCACACTCGAAGAGAAACAGAAGACATTTCTGGCTGTTGATAATTAATAATTCATCAGTTTGAAAAACCTAGTTAGTATTTTAATCTCATATTTTCAGTTTGGTATTTGTTATCTGAACTTGTGTGAATGTTTTCTTTTTGTTGCTCTGCTCCCACACACCACCTTCTGAATAGTTAGTGTTGGGGAGACTAGAAGAGGTGGTATTAGAATGCTGTTCTTTTTGGTGACTGAAAACGTGAACCTGTGGATAGTCCTTTACCCCAAATCCCTTTTGACACTGGTTGACGTCTTCTGTCATCCAGATATTTCCTTTCTGTCTGTGTGAAATAGCAGAAAATGAGCCAATAGAATGGAGCCAGCTGCCTGGGGGCCATCCCAGCCCCTCTCCTTATCCCTGGACCGTCATTTCCGAATCTGCAAAATCAGGGTAATAAAATGCCTGAATCCCAAAATACTTGTAAGGATTGAATAAATTAATGCCCAACAGCATTTAAGACGGTGTCTGGCACCTGACAAGCCTTGGAGTTGCTATCACAACAGCAAAGCCTTCAGTCAGCTGATTTTTATCAAAATGATGTCTGCTTGCTTATGAGTGACATGACCATGAACTCCTTTCTTTGATGAACGTCTTGGCATGGTCACTGTTCTCCTTACTATCCAGAGACCTTTAGTGCTTCAAATATAGCCATAAAGTTGTCTGTTACTCTTAGTGGGATTGAAATGTTCTATTTCTGACTTTGTAACTTAACATTTAGTGTAAATAGCACCATTTCTGCTTCTCTTCACGGTTGTCTGTTCATGATCTTGAGACAGGTTTTCGTTGTGTAGCCCTGCTGGCCTGCAACTCTGCGTAGACCAGGCTGGCATCAAACTTATGGAGATCCACCTGCCTCTGCCTCTGGAGTGCTGGGATTAAAGGTGTGTGCCACCATGCCTGGCTTTTCTTCATATTCTTGAAAACCTCCATCTCTCCCTCCCCCCGCCTCTCCCTCCCTTGCTCCCTTCTGTATCCTCTTATTTTTCTTTTTCTCTTTTTGTCCTTCTGGGTCCTATTGAAAGTCCATAGTTATCTCAGTGGTAAGCCTCAAACCCTCGTTTTCAGATAGGGCATTACTTTAGTAATAGAAACCAGATTGCTAGGAATGCAGTGATTGCCTGATACTTGTCTTTTTAATGTCTTTTTCCTAGTTTGAGGCTAAAAGATACCACTTATATGAAAGAGAAATGCAGGTTCTCTTTAAATCGTAGGTTTTAAAATAAGGGCCAAAGGTGTCCATCAACTGATGAATGAAGAATGTGCTAGATAGACGCAAAGCATTGTCTGTTGTTCAGCCCTGAAGATTGAAATCATGTCATATGGCAGAAAAGTGGATGGAATTGGAGAGCATTGTGTTAAGAAAAATAAACTAGACTTAGAGATAGAGAGATAGAGATAGGTAGATAAAATATAGAAGGAAGATGATGATAGATAGATAGATAGATAGATGATAGATAGATAGATAGATAGATAGATAGATAGATAGATAGATAGATAGATAGATAGATAGATGATAGATAGATAGATAGATAAAATAAGGGCTGGGCGTGGTAACACATACCGTTAATCCTAGCACTCAGGAGGCTGAGGCCACTGGATAGATCTCTGTGAGACTGAGGCCAGCCTGGTCTACATAATTCCAGGCCAACTGGGGCTGCAAAGAGTCTAAAACGAAGACTCAAACAGACAATAAATAAATGGTATATGCCTGTAATCATAGCAGTTAGGATGTGAGACAAGAGAACCCAAAATTTTAAGTGAAGTGGGGTTCTGTAGCATAACTTTATCTCAGAATATAATTACGATAACTCCAAGGGCAGTGCATCTTTGCCAGCTTTGATTAAAGTAGAAATGGTTATTGAACGTGTTCTCTTGGATTGACTCCCTACATTGATGGTCTCTGTCAGGAATGGTAATATTGAAATTGTGAACTCTAGCACTTACAGCACTCACAGGAAAATAATTTTTCCTGTAGGTTTATAACATAGCATTTGAATAATGAGTAAACTCACTTTTCATATCTATATATTTACAGGGAAATGGGAAGATTACAGAAGGAAATGTCGGTCATCTAGGGCTCTCTGGAACAGAAGCGACTGGAGAAGCATAACCTGCTGCTTGACTGCAAAGTCCAAGACACTGAGATCCTTCTTCTGTTGGGGTCACTGGAAGACGTAACCAAAGTGGAGGTATTCTAGCAAGTGATTTAAATCTGTGCAGTTGTGCCGAGCTTCGTGTTATGTCTTTTGATTGCCTAGTCCCCCACTAGTGCTATAGTTCCTGTAGCTCCCAGGATGGCCAAAGAGCAGTGATCCTTGTCATCTCGAAGGACTAGGAATTTTGTACAGTTCTCTGATTTGTCCTCTAATGAGTGCTCCTTTACCTCTATGGCATCTACTGCAGTTCCTTTCCTTTATAGCAAATATCCAAGAGAAAACAAAGAATTATAGTTCTTTCCTTTCTATTCTGCCCCTCAAAGCTTAGAAAAATTTGGTTTCAGCCAGCTTTCTGCTCTACAGCTTAGTTATTTGGAATTCTTGAGAGTGAAGTGCTGGAAAAACTCAGCTTCTCTCAACAGCTTCTCATAGCATAATCCCAGTGTGACAGAAACAAAAGGTTCTTTTCTCTGTTCTAGCAGAGATAACATTTTGGATATGAGATAAGGAAAGGACAAAACCTTTTTCTGGACCCAACTTGGGGCATAAGTCCAACTCAAATGGCTCTATGTACCCATTGAAAAAGGGATGGGAGCTGGGCGTGGTGGCGCATGCCTTTAATCCCAGCACTTGGGAGGCAGAGGCAGGCGGATCTCTGTGAGTTCAAGGCAAGCCTGGTCTCCATAGCGAATCAAGGACAGCTGGGGCTACAGTGAGACCCTGTCTCAAAAGACAAAAAAAAGGACCAGTGAGATGGCTCAATGATTAAAAAGGCACTTGTCACTAAACCTTTTGACCTGAGTTCAATCCCCTGAACCCGCATGGTAGAAGGAGAGAAGTGACTCCTGCAAGTTGTCCTCTGCCATCCACATGAGCACTATGGCATTCATGCATACATATACACCAACAAATAAATAAAATACATGTAAAAAAAATCAAATCCCAAACCAAACAGATAAAAAAAAACAGTGACTGTATGACTGTGAATATAGCTCAGTGGTAGTGTACTTACTTAGCATGTGTAAGGCCGTGGGTTGATTCCTAACACTGGGGGGAAAAAAGAGGGCGGGGAGATAAAATTAACAGTAACCACTTCCCAGGATTATTGCAGGCATCAAATAACCTAATGTATCCAAACTGTTTAGCTTACTATTGAACACATAGGGAGTACTCAATAAATGGTAATTCTTCTCTGCCATTACCAGCGAATTAATGTTAATATTTTATTTTTATTTTATGTGTATGAGTGTATTGCATGTATGTGAGTGCACCCGTGTCATGCAATGC